AGCCTGGGAAACATAGCAAGACCCTGCCTCTAAAAAGGAAAAAAAAAAAAAAGATTAGGAGGCATAAAAAAAAAAAGGAGCAGGCATATCTAAATTATAAGGCTCCAAAACTATATATTAATTTTTTTATCTTCTCTCATACCTGTCCCTCCTTTTTTTGTTTTTGCTTCCATCCTTGTTTTATTGTTGTATTTTATTTTTTCCAGCTATATTTAGCTTGGCCTTCATTTTATTTATGCTTTCAGTTAATAAGCATCATGCATCTGTTTCTTGAGCCAGGAACTAAGGGAGGCAAATCCATGGCTCGTTGCTTATTCTCAGTTAATTTGACCCTATAGATTCTAACTCCTCATAGGTCTCAGAACTGCTTATTCTTCATTCTTACTGACATAGATTAAAATCAGGCCACCTTTATATGTCACATGGATTCTGTAATAGCCACACAACTGGTTTCCCTGTCCCACTTCAATCCATTCTCTACATTGAAGCCAGAATAATATTTCTCTAATGCAAATCTTAATTTATCACTTCTTAAAACTCTTTAGTCTTGTTTGCCTGGGTATATTTTGTACTCAGAATAGTACGTTGCATATATCGATATTTATATTTGTGAAATTGTTGAGAGTATGTCTTGTGGTTGCTACGTGGTGGAGCACGATCAACCCCCTCCCCCAAATTGGTTAGATGCCAAGACAGATGGTGCTGTGTATGTACCAAGAGTGTTTGAAAAGGTTTATTATTCACAAAATGAGTCTTTCTGGGGAGAGCAGTGCGGTCACTGAAGCTGGTGCAGAGTGGCTTGTATGAAAGGAAAGGAGGGTGGCTCTGGTTTTTATTGTGAATAGGGGATGGGCCAGGTTGAGGGGGTCCCACATTCAGGCTGGGTTTGTGCGATTTGAATTTCCCTGCTGATGCCAGAGGAGGTAGACAGTATCTAACCCCAAATTTTACTTATTATAAAGCTACCATGTCCTTATTATAGAAAAATTAAAAAGAATATAAAGAGCATAATCATGTATTATCTCTTACATTAGAAGATTATAACAATCCTTTGATTTGTCACCTTCCAGATATTTAAATGTGTTTTTCAGCATTAAAGGTGTTGTCATATTGTGTATATATATGTAATCTGCTTCCACTTCCTCCATTTTACAGAGCATCTTTCTGTGTGAAGTTTCTAAAACATCATATGTAATAATTTATTGATATATATAGATGGCTCCCCCCCCCCCCCGCCCTATCCACTTTGTGTTCTTCCTTCTGTGTTCCCCTTTCTTTTATACTGGCCTTTCTTAGTAACTTCTCGAAGTGATAAAGTTATTCCATCACTTTTTTTTTTTTTTTTTGAGACAGAGTCTCGCTTTCTTGCCTAGGCTAGAGTGAGTGCCGTGGCGTCAGCCTAGCTCACAGCAACCTCAAACTCCTGGGCTCAAGCGATCCTCCTGCCTCAGCCTCCCGAGTAGCTGGGACTACAGGCACAAGCCACCATGCCCGGCTGATTTTATATATATTAGTTGGCCAATTAATTTCTTTCTATTTTTATGGTAGAGACGGGGTCTCGCTCAGGCTGGTTTTGAACTCCTGACCTTGAGCAATCCGCCCGCCTCGGCCTCCCAGAGTGCTAGGATTACAGGCGTGAGCCACCACACCCGGCCTTATTCCATCACTTTTTAAAACAACAACAACACTTCATTATGAACTGAAAGGTACAGAAAACTACATGAAACAAATGTAGAGTTTAGTTAGTTATTGAAAGTTTGGCACCTTTTTGTCAGTGTTCCTTTTTCTGATTCAGTGTCTCTCAGCAAGCCTTGCTCTGGGTTTAGAATACCAGGTCATTCTGCCTTTGATTCTTTTTTTTTTTTTTTTTTCTTTGAGACAGAAGTCTCACTCTGTTGCCCTGGCTAGAGTGCTGTGGCATCAGCCTAGTTCACAGCAACCTCAAACTCCTGGGCTCAAGCAATTCTACTGCCTCAGCCTCCTGAGTAGCTGGGACTACAGGCATGCACCACCATGCCCAGCTAATTTTTTCTCTATATTTTTAGTTGGCCAATTAATTTCTTTCTATTTTTAGTAGAGTCGGGGTCTCGCTCTTGCTCAGGCTGTTTTCGAACAGCCTTGAGTGATCCTCCCACCTTGGGCTCCCAGAGTGCTAGATTACAGGTGTGAGCTAGATTAGAGGGTGCCCAGCCTGCCTTTGATTCTTTGTTGTAGCCTTAGTTGTCACATCTGGCCTTCGGCATGCAATACCATCTTGTTTCACACAATTTCAGATACACACAAACAAATTGCCAAATGTTTTTATAGAGGATATAATTTTTTTGGTAAAATTACCTAAGTCATAATGCTTATTGCAGAAAATGAGAAAACATAGGTACTCTAATAGAGAAAAAGAAGAAGAACATCACATAATTCTAAAATAGAGTTAATCTGTGTTTTGGTTTCCTTTTAGCTTTTTTTAATGCTGAAAATTATACATTGTTTTTTTCATAAAATAGATAATTTTGTACATGCAGTTTTGGAGACCTGCTTTTTGTTGTTGTTATGAACATCCAGTCCTTTTCTGTGGAAGGAATGTACTTCTCTTTTAAGATGAAAAACATTTTGTTTTTATATTGATACTTCACACTCAAATTCAGAAACAGAGTTATTACTTAATTTCATTGTTCTTATATCTATTCTCCTTTTTTTTCTAAGATAAGAATCCATTTTTTAACAAATATCAATACAATATTTCATTTATATTCATGTATGCACACCATTTCAAAATAATAATTCCAGTACTACCACCGATAATATAATTACCAAAAAATTTACAAATTTTTTCTCCTCCTTGAAGTAATTTCTAGTGTTATGGCATCAGCTTGATACATAGTTAGATCCATTTTTATTTCTTTTTGTTTTTGGTTTATGGGGTTTATTGTAGCATATTTTTGAGAGCAAAGGATTAGAAAAAACTTTTTCTCCCCAGTTAACATCTTTCCATGTTTATAAGTCTATATTATCTTTTTAAAGAACAACAGAGCATTCCATTGCATGACTGTGCTATACTTTCTGTTTGACTATTTTTCTATTGTTGAACCTTTAGGCTGTTTCTACTTTTTTCCATTCTGAACAATTTTGCAAGTGCGTTGTGAATGCTATTTACACATACATTTGGTTCATTTGTCTGACTGTTTCTAAGGAATAAATTCTTAAGAAGATAGTTTGAACATCACTAGAAAAAAAATTCTTAAGAAGGAAAAAAATCATCTTTTTAAGAAAAGCTCTAGTGAAATTTTGATAAATCGGCCTCCAGAACATGTGTATTGAATCTATTCCTATTTGCAGTACAGATGAGTACTATATTCTTCTAATTTATGATAAATCAACATGGGTGTTAGCTTTCTTTCCTGCATCATATTTATTGACCATTTATTTATACTTGTGAGTTGTCATTATACACTTTGCTAATTTTTTTCCTGTGTTCATCTTTTTTCTATATATTAAAACTATATAGATAGCATAGCAAAGTATATTCTAACTTATCAGCAATAAGTTAGGGTATACTTTAAAATACCTAAAGGAGTGAAATTAGGATGTTCTTATTAACACAAAGAAATGATAAATGCCTGAAGTGATAGATACCCCAATTACCCTGATTTGGTTAATTCACATTCTACACTTGTATCAAAACATCATATATGCCCCATAATGATATAAGAACTATTATGTACCCACAATAATTTTTTTTAAAGACTGTATATTAAGGAAAGCAAATGTCTCCATGATGGGAAGAGATTCTGAGAAATTTCTCTTTCTTGTGCCAAGGTTAAATAATTATCCAGAGATTTTTTTAAATCTCTGTTTTTAAAACTCTGGTTGGGTTTTGGAGAACCCAACAACACAAAATTGGCAGTATTTGAATGGAATACCTGACATAGGAAACAGTTTTAATTTTATTCATATTATCTATAATAAAATAGATATTCCTGTCCTAGATGAGTTTTTTCTTGGTTATGATCTCTCAGTTATTTAAAAATGTGTGGACATATGATCATTTTCTTATATATACTAAGGGAATGTCTTATAATATTGGATCAGTTCTTAGATTGTAAGGATCCACCAGTGGGCTATAGGTCAAACTGAATTCATTACCTTAATCTTAGTTTTTGATGAATCAGTTATTTACATTTGAGAACAACCATCTTTGAAAACAAAATACTGCTTTTCTAAGGAGAGATGATAGCTGTTAAGGTTGCAGATAAAACCCAACAGGGACTGTTTATGCCAGTTAGAGTAGTCTAGTCCTATCACAGGAAAAACACCCAACAAATTAAATCAAACCAAAGAGCTGGTAGGGTGCTGATGGTAGTAGGAGTGAGAGTTTGGCACAAGAAAGGAAATGGAACACTCACATCATTACAGGCTTATTTCATTATTTTATATAAGGGTTCCATTCTCCTTGGAATAATAAAATATAAACTCTCATACCAAATATGAATAAATTTTGGGTGATTCTTCACTCTTTTTGATTATTTATGTTATCATAGAAGTTGTTAAAAGCATGGGCTCAGGAGCTAGACCTCCTGTGTTTACATCCTATTTTGGCCAGGTATTTAGGTTCTCTGTAATAGTTTGATAATATGAGGATGGAATTAGTCACTAACTCATAGAGTTATTTTGAAGATTAAATAAATAAATTAATATTTTTAAAGTGGTTAGAACAATATTTGGCACGTTAGTGAGCACTGTGTAAGTTTTTTAAACATGAAAATAAAAATCTACTGGGGAGGGATGTTAGGAGGGAGGATGACTAGAAGAAGGATGTTACAAAAAGCTTAATTAAATAAACCAATTGAATTTATTTTTATTATGCTTAAAATTTTAAAGGTCTGCTTTATTCTTATAGGGCAAACAGAGTAAATCCAAGATATCTTGTGGTGATATCTTAAAAAACTAATGGTTATACGTATCCTTTGGGCTAGGTTATAGTATTTTTTTACTGCTTTTGTTAACAGGATATTCTGAATAATCTTGAATCATGTGACCTTGAGGATGATGACCTTATGCTTGATGTGGATCTGCCTGAGGATGCACCTCTTGAAAATGGTAAGTTGGGATAATATTGAACTTCCAGAGGAATATACTTGGGGTACTTCACTAAAGCCAATTTGATATTTTTTACTTGAAGACTTCTTAATCTCAGTAGAATCTTTCAGACTAAGAATTAATCTTAAGTGATAGAAAATAAGTTCATTTGCAAATTAACTTAAATGTTTCAAACATGATTTTATAGGTCTTAGATATGATTCTGTATGATCTAATAACATCCTATATTTATAAGTGGTAGATGAGATTTTCCTTTTTTTTTCCTGTGTACATGCCCAGTATTTCCTCACTTTGAATTATTTTGATTTTAAGAAATATATTTAGAGAAACTTATTTGATTTTTGAAACAGTATACTAATTTGATAAATATTTTTAAAAGATCAATTCTGGGAAAATGGTGACCTTCTGTATGGTTCATTCTGTTCTTTTTACTAACAATTCTAGTCTATCTTCCTCTCTGGATCTTATTAACTACTGGGATGGCACATTAGATAATCCATATGCAAGAGGGGCTTGGGTTCTCTTGTCCCTAATGACTTACCATTTGTAGAATTTTCCATCTTAAGAACTGGTTGAGAACCAGAGACCAGCATAAGACAGCCCTTGGGGCAAGTGTTGATATGAGATCCTCCTGGGGGAGAGGAATGCTCCAGAGATGTGAGGATTTACTGTGAGTCAGCACTTGCCTGGGCTCCTAGGCTTCCCAGGGCTAGGGATAAACTATAAGGGTGAGTGGAGTCTTTTTTATCCATGGTGCTAGAAAAATGCAAGGCTGTTTCAGAGAGAGGAGGTGTTTATCCTAGTGCTTCATTGGGATGTTAGGAGCCTGCGTGCTGCTATACTACCAGCTCATATTTGTTTTTATTTTTTTCCTGCTGGAATGCTGTGTAATAATCAATCTCAAGATCTCAGGTGCTTTCAAAATAAACATTTATTTTTCTCATTTATACATCTGTGGATTAGCTGGGGACAGCTCAGTCTGTGGGATTGTGTTCAGGTCTACTCCATGTTTCTTCGTTTTGAGACCAGGACTGCTGGGGCAGGTTGTTCTCATGACACATGGCAGAGGTGCAACAGGGTGAGCAGAAACATGCATATTATGGCTCTTAAAGTCTTGGCTTGGAACCAGCACATTGTTACTTCTAACTACATTCTTTTGGCTAAAGAAAGTCACATGGCCAAGCCTAACATCATTGGGATTGACAAATATAGTCTGTTCACAGTGAGAGGCTCTGTACGTGACAGACCACATTGGATGTATAATTATGTTAAAAGAGATGGTGAAGAGCTGAGGACACTATCCATTCTATCGTAGGAGTAAAGAATGTTGTACCTTGTTGTCGTTCTGCTGTTATTTGGGATACTCCAGCAACCAGAGCTGAGTTCCAGTGCTGAGAAAGAAAAATCAAAACCAATACTCAGGAAGAACAGGGAAAATAACCGAACTCCCAGGATTAGAGTGACCTAAAGAGATAATACTGAGAGTGGTTAGGGAGATTCAGTTGGAGCACAGTGCTTTCTGAAGCTAGAAAAGGAGATTTCTCAACAGAACAATTCAGTAGATGGCAGAACGTATAGCTGCTGTTGAAATCTGAATTAGTGGCCTGGAAGATCAAGTGGAAAATATTGTAGAACACAGAGGAAAACACTGGAAAATTATAGGAGGGAAAATAATGAACCTTGATGATCTAAGAAATTTAATGGGAATTTTTAGGGCTGGTAATAGGGAGCGAGGATTTACCTTCTTGGAATAAATCACATTTTAGAAAACATATTTTACTTTGACAGAATTATAGTAACTTCTCTTTGGAAACTTTATACCCTTTCTGATCTAAAACAGTAAGTAGAAATGCAATTGTCTTAGAGCCTACCTTTAGTGCACAACAGAAAGTTATCCATATATTAGATAAAGTAGAATTACAGGGAAATTTTAAATCTTTGAAGTCTCATTTGGGGACTTGTGAAAAGTAGGAGGGAACTCCTGGGAACCATCCCATGTTCCCAGTATTATAGAGTTTTCCTAGGAAAAGATAAACAACTATTGGCTATTTCGAGCTAAAGGAACACTAAAGAAAGTAGAACATGAATTTAAAACATGTAGCCTCTGGAGGCACTAAAGATAAAATAGAATTTAGTTTTGCCACTATAGGAAAGTGGGGAATGATTATTCTTTTTATAGCTCATAGGTCCCTAATGACTATACCCACCCATTGTATTTTTTGGCTGAGAGGATAGGAATGTTATAAGGACTGGTGGGGCTTTAAGGAGTCTTCTGTACTTCTGACCAGGCATCCTCAAACTATGGCCCGAGGGCCACATGCTACTCACCTAGGACATTTATCCTGCCTGCCAGGTGTTTTTTGCCGCCGCTGCCTGTCCTGCTTAGCAGCCGACTTGTCCTGGGCCCAGAGTGCACACTTTCCAACCATCTGAGGGACAGTAAATTGGCCCCTTGTTTAAAAAGTTTAAAGGACCCCTGCTTTTAACTATTGGTTTTAGTCCCTTTTACTTCTGGTTTTTGATAATATTATGCAAATTTGGGTAGAGATTTGGATTGGTCACTCTGAGCCTCAGCTCCACTAATTGTGCTGATATCAGTGGAATTTTTTCCCACAAGAAAACTGGCACCTCATTGAGATCTTCAGTTTGGGTTTGATTTGTCAAAATTTGCTATGTCCTCATTGTAAACAGGGCAGTGTTCACAGTTTTCATGGAAGATGCTATGAGGAGAGTATTTATCTGGCAATTGCATTTGTATAGTAACTCTCCCTATTAAGTAGCATATGTAGTAGTACAAAAGAGAAGAAAATGTTGGTCAAATGTTTCTTGGATAGTTGTGGGCTAGGACAGTTTGGGGACTATCTGAGAATAATTAGAGATGTAGAGGCAGAAAGGTGTGATACTTTTCCTTACTTATCATAAGGGTCACAGCTGATGCTCCTATAACAAAAGACAGGTTAATGAGAGAAAAGCATAACAAATTTATTTAATCAAAATTATATGTGACACAGGAACCTTCAGAAATGAAGATTCCAAGATCCAGGGAAAAATATCTATTATTATGTTTAGGTCAATGAAGAATGGCCTCCAGGTATGGGGCAGAACCTGTCTGGAATGGCGGTCTTCAAGAAAGAAGGGAGAAGAGAGAGCAAGTGTGACCTTTCTAGGTTTTATGGCTTGCTTTGGGGGAGAGGGTTTCTCATTTCTATGACCCACCTTGGGGAAGAGGAATTCTGGTTTCTATGACTGGCTTCGGGTTAGAAAGGGGTGGGAGACAAGAGAACAGAAGAAAGTCAGAGAGACTTTGCTTCGGGGGCCTTTCTAGTTTCCTTCAGTTCAGACTCATCATGCCAAGATGCCAGACTTTCTGAGCCCTAACAAAGAAATCCACACCTGAGTGTTTGGTGACCCTGACTCAGTGAGGTTATATAATAGTTTTGGAGTTTAAAGTTGATATCATAGTGCTTGTATCAATAAAACACTTGCAAGATTGTCCTTTGATATTTAGAAAAATTAATCTTTGAGTTAACCACTTTAGTATGAGAGTCGACTGTAGTTGATAGCCACAGATGAACACACACAGCGACTTTAGCCAACAGCCATGATGTGAAGGTGCATAGCTGAGTGTCGACTTTAGCTGACAGCCGTGATATGACTTTTCTAATTTTTCATTTATCAAAATAAAATTGTGAATATTTAAAAATAACGTAATAGGCCGGGTGCGGTGGCTCATGCCTGTAATCCTAGCACTCTGGGAGGCCGAGGCGGGCGGATTGCTCCAGGTCAGGAGTTCAGAACCAGCCTGAGCAAGAGCGAGACCCTGTCTCTACTATAAATAGAAAGAAATTAATTGCCAACTAATATATATAGAAAAAATTAGCTGGGCATGGTGTTGCATGCCTGTAGTCCCAGCTACTTGGGAGGCTGAGGCAGAAGGATTGCTTGAGCCTAGGAGTTTGAGGTTGCTGTGAGCTAGGCTGATACCATGACACTCACTCTAGTCTGGGCAACAAAGCAAGACTCTGTCTCAAAAAAATAAAAATAAAAATAACGTAATAAAAACATATATGTATGTGTTACCTGTTCGGATTTACATTACAAGTAAAGCTGCCTGTAAAGTAAAACAAGCTTTCAGTACTTTAAAGCTTTCCTCATCACATAAGAGCAAAACGGATTTGTCATCAATGCACAGCACAAACTATCGTGCAGACTATGAGCGCTGGCTGTGGGCAAGGTTTCGTGTTCAGTGAGCACTATACTGAAGTGGTTAAGGGTAAGTCAGGAAATTGGGGGCTTGACTTCCCCTTCAGAACACTTTTGTTGATCACCCACTTGATTTTTCTCCTTTGTTTCTTATCACATGCCTACAATTGTGTTCTCAATATCCTTTCCATTTACAGTATCTATAAGTGTATTAATAGACTCCCTACTCCAGTGTTTAATTGACTGGGGTGGAAGCATCTAGTTGTTTTATGTGAAGGCCATCATTTTATTCTGAGTCTTTTTGTGCCTTTTTTAAAGGCTCTTGCCAAATGTTAAAGCATTTGAGGTCTGGTGATGAGGCCTATTTTTGCCTAAAAGACTTTTACAGAAAGGAGGAAAGATGAGCCCACATGTTTCAAAATTTTCTCCTAAATGCTATCTAGAGGTACAAGTCTGTCCCTGATGTCTGCAAGGGATTTAGCTTTTCTTGTCTTATGGGACTGATCAGAGCCCAATCTCTGTGTACAGGAAAGACCTTTGTTGACAGCCTATGAAAGTCGTTTTTTAACCCCTCTAGTTTTCTGTGCAGTCAATCATGGGTCTTAAGCCACCTTAAGATTCTTTACATTGTGCTTTTTCTGTTCTATGATTTGTATATGGGGTTCCCTCTAATGTATGAACTAGTTGGTGTAGATCTGGGAGCCCTGGAGTATCAATTTCTAAAACCATTCTAAATTCCTCTGCAAATGTCTCCCAGTCCTATTTAGACCTTAGATTGTAGGTGGCTATGGATCTCAGCTCAGAAGGAGATCAGGTCTTAAAACCAACATTAAAGGGTTTTTCCTATTGTGAAGAAGTTTAACTTTAAGAATTAATATGCTTTTGAGGTCATGGTGAATGTTTATTTCCAGTGCTTTTTTGCCATTAAGCCCATGTTTGAGTTCAAGTTTCAGTTAACGATCCTTCTATTTGGAGTCTGTATGTGGAACCAACAACCTTTAGCAAACATAAAAGTAGCATCATTGTAATTGCCCACAATATTTAACTCATTTCTGGCCTGTTCACCCTGATTTGCTTATTGCTTCTTACTCTGTATGCACAGTGTTGCTAATCATTCTAAGAACATATAAAGTGCTTTTTTTCAACATTTCTTGCTTTGGGAGTGAGTGGAGTTTCTTCTGCCTGTATTAAGGAAAAATATGAGTTCAGAAAATTTAAAAGTGGATATAGATTAGCCCTTAGCTATACAGAGTTGCTTAAACTAAAGTAAAATTTAATGCTATGTGGAAATACAGGTCTTAACTGAATCTGTAAGTATAATACGGTGTGAATTCATAAATGATGTTGCTAAAGGCCCTAAACTAAAAACAGCTTTAAACGTTTTTAAGGTTTTTTTAAAATTTCTTTTTCTTTTACAATCTCATTTTCTACTTCTGTTTAGTTTTCTATAAGTGAACTTTAAGAAAATCTTAGTTTATCTCAATAAGATGACAGAAGTTGTTTTGAAGTAATTTCAAATGGAAAGCTTCTTTTGAATAGTTAAAAAAATTTTTTTTAAATTTTAAAATGTATATATTCTTCCCATTGACTCCTCTAGTGAATGTGAACAAAAATTTCAATGTTCTTTCAAAAACATTTTACTTATAAATTGTTATACTTTTAGAGGAAATAGATTAAAATGAGTCCTGTGTATATGAAAATTGAACATCTACACTTCAACTACGTCTCTTTTTGAAATGGCAAAGTTTGTTTTCATCTTGTAGACTGTAACAAAATACTCATCATGTTTCAAATTCAAGTTTTTGGTTCAGTGAAACAGTAATTTAAATAAGTGGGTTTTTTTTTTTTAAATTGGGGATTATGTTGATTTTTAAAGCTTTTTATCACAAGGGATCCTGAACATGCAAGACTTAAACTTTCTTAGGTAGAGAACTTTCTTATGAAATTTTCTTTCTTATGAAAGAAAGTCAGCTTTCTTATGACTAGAGAAATCTTTCCTGTTCTGTGGCTACAGTTAGTGTTTAGTTATATTTTTAGTAACAGTCCTAAGTCAGTAGCTATGTAAGCACTGAATGAAGATGGAGTCACAGGGCAAACTGGGCTTGCTTCCCACAGGGAGGGCTGGGAGTGGAGCAGGAAGGAAGGCCTGTTCGGCAGTGCCTTGTGTGCAACTATGTCTGAGTAGGCAGCCGGTAACACAATGTCTCCCTTGTACAAAGTAACTCTCTTAGTGAGTGCTAAGATATGTGAGGAAAACGTATTTGGGTAAGTGAGGAAGCTTGGGATGTTTCAAAGAGATTCCTTTCGTGTTTTTGTGGTATTTGGATTTAAGGGAGTGTACTATTTGTTGCTGCAAAGTACTGGCTTTGTTTTCAGTAGCATTTAGACTTTTTGAACAAGCTCTTACTGCAGGCAGATTGAAGCGTCTTAATTTTCTAAAAATGTGAGCTTAATTTTAAAAATGTGATTTGTTTGTGATGAAAAGTTAATTAGTGCTTCTTGAAATCAGTAAAAATTAATTGTGGCATTTATTTTTAGGAATGAATTTCTACTAGGCTTAAAGAAACCAACCTTTTCTTGTCCTTTTCATTCTGAAATCAGAGCCAACTTGTGATAGCGGTGAAAACCACCCCAAAGTGATTACTGGTGTTTAAAATGTATAATGTTGATTTCAAGGACAATTTGCTTGTTTTAAAACAGTGTGGCAGTTAAATGACTGTGATATAAAGGTATTATAATTTGCTTCAGTTTGAATAATATAAAGTTCAATTTTACCAAAAGAACTAGTAAATTCTTCTTTTGGAAATCTTGATTTTGTGATTAGCTGGTATAAATGGCTATTTTAGAATATTTTTAGAATATAACTTTTTTGTATTCAGCAGCATTTAATTATCAAGCTATAAATAGTTAACTTTTGTGGCGTGTGTACATGTTTATAGTCTTCTGCTTTTGAATCTGTCTAGTGGAGTGTGACAATATGAACCGCTTTGACCGACCAGATAGAAATGTTCGTCAGTCTCAGGAAGGATTTTGGAAAAGGCCACCCCAGAGGTGGAGTGGACAGGAACATTACCACCTCAGCCATCCTGACCACTATCATCACCGTGGAAAAAGTGACTTGAGCAGGTGAGTACTATTCTAACTTAGATTTCATTTGCTATCCTCTGAGTAATTTTGAATTGTAATTTCCCTGTGCCCCTGCAAATGTTTTTGTCTGGTTTTTAGGGGCTTCAAAAAACACTTCAGGTTACATGTGATACTAATTTGAGTAGTATATCTAATTCTTTCTTTTTGGCTTAAATCTTTTCATTAGCTTATCGTAAATATAAATATTATATTTATATCCGATATTTGGACTTTAAGTTGTGTGATTTTTCTGGTCTCATTTGTGAATGATTAACTGTCAACTTTGTTAAAGTTTATAGTTTTTCTAAATGATAATGTATAAAATTAGTGCCAAGTGATTTGTCTTCTTTTGTTTATGTAATAGGTTGAAATTTTAAAAATTCCACAAGTAATATTAGAAACAGAACAACACAGTGTACATTGCTAGAGGTCTTTTCTTTTTTCAAGTATAGGATAGTCTTTAATTTGACCAGACCTTATGTGTAATGTAGCTCTGTAGCCATTTAAACCTGGGTTCCAAACCTTGGCCTGGCACAAATTAACTTTGCAAGCTTAGATAATTTATTTAAGTCACCTCTACTTCAGTTTACTATCCGCAAACATAGTTAATAATACCTTTCTTTCAATGTTCTCTCACTGCTCCAGGGTTAAACGTGCCTGGAGCAGTGTCTGGTTTATAGTATGTACCCAGTGGCAGTTATTATAATTAATTCTTTCCTTTTCACTTATCTCATTCCACAAGAGCTTTGAAGTCATGTTGGAATATCTTAACAATACAAATGATCAAACAGGGATAAGGAAATAATGGAAAGATAATATGGCCCCTTATAATCCCTAAAGTAATGGAAAAAAATTGTTTCTAAGATTCTTTGTAGCAAAAGCAAAGAATAAAACTTGATTCATTATATGATGTACAGTGTACATTAGATAAAGAATTTGTTTCTCCTGGATTGATTTTTTTTTTTTTTTTTTGAGACAGAGTCTCACTTTGTTACCCAGGCTGAGTGAGTGCCGTGGCGTCAGCCTAGCTCACAGCAACCTCAAACTCCTGGGCTCAAGCAATCCTCCTGCCTCAGCTCCCCGAGTGCTGGGACTATAGGCATGCGCCACCATGCCCGGCCAATTTTTTATATATATTAGTTGGCCAATTAATTTCTTTCTATTTATAGTAGACACGGGGTCTCGCTCTTGCTCAGGCTGGTTTCGAACTCCTGACCTCGAGCAGTCTGCCTGTCTCAGCCTCCCAGAGTGCTAGGATTATAGGCGTGAGCCACCGTGCCCGGCCTGATTTGTTTTTATGAGTGAAAAAGCTGAGAGAGGTTGCTTCCTGAGTTCTTAGAAGGAAAATACCTTGTGATATTTTAAACAGGTCCCAGACAGCTTCACAAAGTAAAAATAATGATAAATTTCTTAAGTCTGTTTCTTAATTATATTCTTCAATGCAAGCTGCAAAGAATTCTAGTCCAGCTGAGAAAAGGCAATTCTAAAGTGGATCATGAACCAATGATGTCCAGCTAAAATGCTATTGATATAATTCAATGCAGGGATATAGGTGAGAAGATCTGGAAGAATGTATGGAGTACATATCCTTCTAGGCGTGATTTTGGCTATTATATTTCTCACATCTGGGCTTTTTATAAGGAATGGCCATCAGAGAGTTGGTATTGATTTAAGACATTTTTTCATTGCTAATAATGAAAATTATGCTTCCCTAATCTTTGAAAGTCAATTTATAAGAAGGTAAATTTAGAAGTTAAACTAAAACATGAGCCATTGCTGATTTTGAAGATTTATTCATCCATTAACAAATATTCATTGAGAACCTATATCTCAGAGACTCTGCTAAATTTTCAAGCTGGGATGAATTTGGAGATGATGTGACAGGTAAAAGATGTGGATTGATAATGGCTTCTTGGAGCACTGTATTGAAGATGATAAAAAGAATTCTGCAGTGAGCAAGATCAGTAGCAATCTTTGTACTTATTAATTGGGATATGATTCATGTGCTTGTTCCATCCCATACAAAGATGATTAGCATGTATTTCTTTCTGCCAAATTCTCTGATTCCATGGGAGAGACAGGCATATAGACAGTCACAGTGTGATGTTAGTACAGTACAGTGATGATGGATGCCTCAATAAGGTGACATGTAAGGGCCTGCAGGAGCATGCAGCAACTGGTTTTTGTCTATGATAGTAGAATATAAAGGACATTACTGTTGAACTGATTCTAAAAGTCTGACTGTAGAAGTTGCAGAGGAGCCATTTCTGTAGGAGATAGGTAAATATTGCAGATAGAAAGAATGGCATGTGCAAAGACATGTAGGAAAGGGTATGGCATTTTCAGAGATCTAGTCTTAATAAATTCACCGCAGCTAGATTGCTGGGTCTTTTGAGGAGTGAGTAGATGTTTTCTCTAACTATAGATAGCAAAGCTATCATATATGCAGTTTAAGATACAGGGTGACAAATTTCAGTTTAATCAAACTGTCTAAAGAGGAACGAATTTACCTGGAGGTAGTCATCTCTCTACTTGGGAATGACCAAGCTGAGGTTGATTATGTAGTCATCTCTCAGAAAAGTTAAGCAACATTTTCCAAAAACTGTGTTCCTTGGATGTCAACAGGTATAAAAAAGAGAGGTTCTTTGGTCACAGGAGTCTGAAAATGAAAAAATTAATTTTTTTTAAATAGTGGACTCTATGGTACCTCTATGTAGTACTATGATTTTGCAAAAGGTAGTAAAAGATATATATAGCCATTTCCCAAGACATATGATCATAAATCCCTTCTACATAGTATACTTTAGGGAACTATAATATGTGGTAAATATCTACATTGGTAACCATTCTTAGTGATGAGAGAGAATTTCATAGCATTCTTAGGGGTTGCTAATCTGATTTACTTAGCACAGAGCTGCCCAACAAGTGTGCTAAAGCACACTGGTTTATTGTGAATGGTTATAGGTTGATGAGTTTATTGATCCCCTCAAGCTTTCAGGTGGTTGTGCTGGGTTTGAGACATCTAGATCCTCCAGAGTCAATTACAGGGATGGGTGGTATAAAAGGAAACCTTTTCTCAGACAAGCATTACTCCAGCATACCTTAAAACTATTATTTTCTCTTTATACCTTAATATTAAAAAAATTGGATGTACAAACCGTAGGGCTTTTTAAATATTACATGTGCAAAATTCCCTCTTCCTATTCTATAACTTCTTGAGTGAATGTTGGTTCCCTTTCCTCTCTGTCCCTCAACTACCATTATTATCATAGTTAATTATAGGATTATGCTTTACCCATAACTCAGAGGTGTTAGGAAGACTGGTGGTTGAGAACTACCAATCTACATTCTTTCATATTCTCATCATAATGCTGATTCATCTTTTCACCTGGCCTAATCTTCCACTCTTCTTTTCTCCCCAGACCACCCTTTTTTCTACACCTTCCACTGTGCTATATATTAATAGAATTCTCTCACATCCTAACAAGCTCACAATATTGATTTCTTTGCTTTCAGTCTCCTGATTATAACTGAAACCTAGCTCTTTCATAAACATACTACTTCCCCAGTAACCTTTTTACATGAAGGATTCTTATTTTCCAACCACTATGGTACTTCACTATTTAGAGGTGTGGTCTTTGTCCTCATTCCTCATTGTCACTTCTTTTTTTTTGAGACAGAGTCTTGCTCTGTTTCCTGGGCTAGATTGTCGTGGCATGTCAGCTTAGCGCACAGCAACCTCAATCTCCCGGGCTCAAGCCATCCTTCTGCCTCAGCCTCCCGAGTAGCTGGGACTACAGGCATGCGCCACCATGCCCGGCTAATTTTTTCTCTATATATTTTTAGTTGGCCAATTAATTTCTTTCTATTTTTAGTAGAGATGGGGTCTCACTCTTGTTCAGGCTGGTTTCAAACTCCTGACCTTGAGTGATCCACCCACCTCGGCCTCCCAGAGTGCTAGGATTACAAGAGTGAGCCACCGAGTGAGCCACCACGCCCAGTCTGGTCTGTTGTTTTCTTGCGATGTCTTTTTCTGATTTTGGTATCAAGACCACATAGACTGAATTGGGAAGTATTCCTTTCACTTTAATTTTTGAGAAGAATTTATGAAGGATTTTTGTTAATTCTCTGAATGTTTTATAGAATTCCCAGTGAAGTTGTTCAGGCCTGGGCTTTTCTTTGCAGCAGGCTTTTTGATTACTAATTTAATCTCTATAAATGTTCTGTAGATGTCTATTAGGTCTTGTTGGTTTATAACGTTGCTTAAATCTTCTATTTCCTTGCTGATCTCTGTCTAGCTGATCTGTCCATTATTGGAAGTAAGGTATTGAAGTTTCCAACTTCATTGTATCTTTTAGGGAAGGTGTGCTAGCAACAAATACTCTCAGTTTTTGTTTATCTGGGAATCTCTTCTTTATTTAATGTGTTAATTTCTTCTTTATTTTGAAGGATTGTTTTGCTGGATATAGAATTCTTGATTGACAGTCTTCCTTGTAACTTTTACTCCCATGCTTTCTGATGAGAAATCTGTTGATAATGTTATTGAGCATGTCTTCTCACATGATGAGTCCTCCCTCACCCTACCTTTTTTGTTGCATTAGGGATTTTCACTTTTTCTTTGGTTTCAACAGTTAAACTATGATGTGTCTAGGTTTGTCTCTCTTTTATTTTATCATACCTGGAGTTTGTTGAGCTTGTTGGATATACAGATTAAAGTTTTTCATCATATTTGGGAAGTGTTTGGTCATTGGTTCTTCAAGTTCTTTTCGTACCTTCCTACTTCCCATTTCTCTCTTCTCCTCCCTCCCCCCACTTCCCTCTGTCCAATTAACTAAGGGAACATATGAGCATCATTCCCTGCTTGTCACAAAAATTTGAAAAGATAATTAATGGGAAAACTACTCAACTCATATTTCTCTCTCTCCAGGATTTGTTGTCATTGCTTTTTTGTTGTTGTTTATAAAATTAGTCCAAAAAAGTCACTGAAGTCTGTATTTTTT